GGAACTCAGGGCGCTCAATAAGTTTTGGTGCCTTGAGTTACCTTGGTTTCTTTGGGTTTTCCTGAGTTTTTGCTTCTGAACGAGGGGACAGAGCCGCTCTACAAGTTTAGGTGGCTCAGTCCCCTTCTGCATTTGTTTTAAGGGAATGAACCTGACAAAGGGGCAGACCCTTTTGTAAGTTCAGGGGGCTTGACCCAATGCCACACACAGGAAGGCTCAGAGAGAAAGAAATCAGGTGGAGAGGCAGACCCTTCTGTAAGTTCAGATGGTTTGACCCAAAGCCTCGCACATGCTGGAACCCAATGGTATAATCGTGTTATATTGTATTATTATTTTATCTAAGAACAGGCTAGTCAGGCGCGGGTTCCATAAGATTGGACAGCCTGACTAAAGTTTATCGTAACTTTAAGAGAGTACAATTAAGAGTACAATGGAAGGTAACTTGGACCGACTGAGCATTGTTTCTAAGATGAATGGCTCAGTCTTACGCCCACCCTAAAGATTAAAGTTTAGAGAGATATATATAACTTGGATATTAAACAGTTCAGGGCGACTAAGCATTGTTTATAAGATGAATGGCTTAGTCACGTGCTCAAAGGAAGAGAAAAGTAGTTGTGCAGCCTGTTCGTGTATACTTGATGGCTGGGTCAAACATGTTCCATAAGATTGGACGGCCTGACTTTATGCCCTATGTAAGCTATGTAAGCTGGGTATAAGGGAATAAAGCATCAAAAGATCACGAACTATTGTTTGCAAAGTTTGACTTGGGGTGGTGAGAGTACTTACCTTTGTGGTTTGGCCTGCATGTGGCTAAATGAGATCACTACTTAGTTTGGGTTTCAGGTTGACAGGTAGTTGCTTTAGAGACTCGCCACGTGCTAGAGCGATAGGAGTTAGGTCAATTCCTGCATTTTCTGAGCTAAGTTTATTTTTATTTAGATCGATTCTTGCATTTTCTGAAATATTTTTATTATACGTGGCTCTGTATAAATTTTGGTAAGCTAGTTTCTCTACGGGAAGCGCTCCCGAAATTTCTACAAATCCAGGGAGTTAGTTAATTCTTGACTTTTCAAAGTTCAACTTGTCTGAAGATCATATATGACTTAGTAAAAATCTGGAAAGTCTTCTTTTCTAAAGAGAGTGTTGCCCAAAGTTTTGCTAATTTAGGGAGTTAGACAAAATTGAACTTTGAAAACTCAAAGACTACTTCTGTTTTCATATTCGGGTTGATATAAATTCCGGAAAGGCGCTTTTCCTACGGGAAGCGCTGCCGAAATTTTCTTGATTTAGAGGAGTTGGATTATATTTTGACAGGTGGTGATTTTGGCAATCCACCCTTAATAGGGGAGATTCTGCCATTAGTCTACCTTTACTTCGGCCACTTGCTTAGAGGTAGGCTTGGACTTAGTTGGCGGATAACTTTGAGTGAGATCGTGATATGGGGATTATTCTCCATGAGATTGTAGACTTAGCTTTTGTTTGGCCTGCCTTGTGTTACATATCCTCTTCACCGTCTGATTCAGAATTTGGACTAGTTTCGGCTTGGTCCTACGAGGATCATTTTCTATTATCACTGATAACAGGTCGGTTGTCGATTCATCGGTGTACGATTCAACTCTAATCCACCTTTGTCGCTCAACCTAAAGGCTTTAGACCCGTGGCTTGAACTGTTTCATTGTGATTTCACCCGGACTTTACTGAATGGCCATTTAACTAAGGTACTGAGTATTTATTTTGGGGAGTTGCACAAGAGTGAGGCTTGCATGGATAAAGCAAGGGGTATGAGTATAGAGGATGGTTGAAGTTCACCCCGTGTAGTGCGTGGACTTTTGTTGAATCTTTTATGTGACTGCAGGTATGGTTGTGGTTCGGCTTTTGGATGTGGCTGCTTGCGGTTACATACATACATGGTTGAGAGAAGTCCCACTGTGATTGTGAGAAGTGATCGTCCTATATAAACAAGCCTTATATGTATGTTTATTTGTGTCTTGGGTATGTGCGCGGCTTACTTAGATCGTGCGTAAGGATTAACCTGGTTATGCCTTAAGAGAAAAGGGGGATCCTCTTTTTTCCTTTGCTTCTTGAAGATTTTTATAGTCGGACGTTGGTCCTTGGACGGGATTCAAGGTCCTTGTCCACGACATCTCAAGCCCTAGACTCTGCGGGGAAGAAATCTACCTCCGTGCAGAGCCTATTTGCCTCGCCTACCAAGACGCTCAGACCAAAGGTCGGAGGTCTCGTGGCGGCTGCACGACTATTCCTTCAGCCGTGCAATGTCGTGAAGGATTAGACCTTCACGACACTTCGAGTCTGACACTTGAGTGTCATAAGCGGTACTCGGATTCACGAGGGACCGCTTGATTATGGGCATTATATAGTACGCCATCATTGCGACTGTTTGTGTACGCTTGCATTGCGATCGATATGAGTTAGCCCTGTGTCCGCGCGGTTTTATACTAAGCCTCACGCGCGATGCCTATCCGATCTTCGCGCCGGGAAGTTATGGGAGGGCTACTTAAGGGGCTAAGAGCGTTGTCGCGTCGTTTGTGTCGTGTCATATTGTATGTGTGTGTGTGTGTGTTTTATTTTCGTGTTCTTAAAGTGGTGTGCGCGTGGTGTGTGGGATGCGTCCTAGTCGACCGACGGCAAGCCGCGCTTGGGACCTCAGTCCCCCAAGATGTCGGTTTGCGTGTGGGTCCGATAGGCGTATTACTGCGCGTGCCCCCTATGCTACAGCGAACGAGAAACGCCCTCGGAAGGTCCACCTTTGCGATTGCAACCGAGCAACTTTCGTACTGTGGACTGGTAGCTCGACGGGGATACGCCCACCGAAGGGAGGTGACAACTCCCGTAAGATAGAGGTAGGTTGTGCCTCGCGTAGGCCGTATCTTGTCGTAGGGGCTTGCGAGAGGTATGGCTGGCGCACTCGGCCGGAGCGGCCTAAGGAAGCTCAATTTGTGTGTTCGCGACAAGGTTGGTCCAACTCCTGCGTGACGCGGCCGAGAGGGTCCCGGGCTGCCTCGTGAGGTGCTGGACTGATGCGCTCAAGGTTTGATGGGAGTAGCGTCCCATAGGTGAAATAAAAAGATCGATCACCTGCACAAAAGAAGAAACAACCAAAACTGTGCAGACGAGGTCCAAAGGGAAAGGAAAAATGCACACATATGATACAAAAAAAAACATACGGCAGCACACAGTTTGCACATAGAGTTATGCCTTATAAAACATCATGGACAATAACAAATAGTAATGTCGAAGCAAGCGTGCTGTACGAAATATGACATGTCGAAACGTGTGTGCACCCAGAAAGGTTTCACAATGAACCATCTGCATGAAATAAGAAAAATGTGCACTTTCTAATAAGGAAAAAGACCATCCTACAGCGACAAACGGTAAAGGAACGTGTCCAAACTACATGATGCGGTCATGCCGCTGACCACGAGCAATCACAAAAAAGTCAATGGCGTCCAGCACATATGGGGGGGCTCGTGCTCCGCCGCTCGCCACTCTCCAAGGTCGCCCGGCGTGCCTCGTGTATCGGCAAGTCCTCCTCTCCGTTAGCCTCCTCTGCAGCGACGTCAGTGTGATCGTCGTAAACCACCGTGACGCCATCCAGTATCATCTCCCTCTGCGAAGCCGCTAAGAGGGTGTCCGTGCGACGTCTCCCTCGCATCATCTCCAACCCCTCGGTCTCACCATCCAGGCGTGATGCTCGTCTGGGTAGCGGTCGCTGTGTCCTTGGAGGCCCCAACACATCTGCCCCGAGGTTATGTGAAACCTCCCTCAATCCGTGAGTCGATACTCGTGCGCCGGGCGCTGCAGATCCACGTCCGCCCGCACACTCAACCTCAGCACCCGACCCGCCACGATGCTCGAACCCAGCAGCATGCACCTCCCTCATCGATGATGTGGACGAGCGTCTCCTCCCCAGCCCGGGCTTCCTCTTTCTGGTACCCGCGGTCGACCTCCTCGTGTCGCTCCAAGGAATGTCAGTGCGCCCAAGTAAAGAAGCCACAGCCCCCGCTGTCGCCTGTCCACGCTCCCGAGGCCTGCCCGCCGCTGAGGTTGGCGTAGTAGGTCGTGTCCCGCGATCTCGTGCCACACTGGGAGGGGACTGCGCCGCACCAACTCCCATGGCACCCACCGCTACCGAAGCGTCTGATGGTGGTGTCGGGCTAGCAGGGCCGCATGAAACGGACTGCACGCGTGGTAGATGTGCTTTGCCTTTCTTTGAGCCGATCCTCACTCCACGTCTCATCTCTGTGAGATCTGTCGCAAGGCACGTGCCCAACTCATCGACAGTCATCGCGCCGAACATCAAACTGCCTCGTGGCTGCTGTACGTAACGAGGTGGACGACGCCATGACCGCTGACTGGGTGGTCGAAGTGTGGCTGTCGATGAATCATGCCGAATGGGAGGTGGCGCCATGACTCCTGCTCCCTCCTCCTCGCGTGAACCAGGTATAGTCGAGGGCGCACCCACATCTCCATGTACCTCCCGAACCCTGTCCTCCCTTGTCTCTTCATCTCCCCCCACCGCCGTTGGACTCCCAACTGCCTCCTCCTCCTGCACGTCTCCCCCTGGTACCGCTTCTGGATCTCCCAGCAAAGCCGTATCTACACTATCGACTACGTGAGGGACCACCGGCTGACCAACATCATCCTCTGGCACAGTGGACTGAACGATTGTCTCGCCGCGCGCCTCTCTGCCGTGTGGCACTGCAACGACGTCCACATCTCCGTCTGGTGGTGGCAGGACGATGGGTGCGCTGTCGATATCGGGCGCAGGTGCATCGTCCTCTCTCTCGCGAACCGCATGTGAAATGTGGGCAGCTGCCTCGACGACCAACCCACAAGACTCCAATGTCTGCGCGTGTGCACTACAGATTGAGCCCTCCATCTGGTCATCCTCCGCCACATCGTCTCGCACTCCTTCACCCCCAGTCTCTAACTGACGCATGGCCTCCATGTTACGTGCCATGGCCTGTGTGCGTGGGTCAGCATAGGCTAGGGCCTTGGCCCTTGCGGCCTCCTCCTCATCCTCCCTCGCCTCTCGAGCCATCCGCTCCTCCTCGGTGTCGGGTGCAGGCACTCCCATGTGAACTGTCTGTGGCCGAGGCCGAACATCCTCGTCGTCGGCCCGTTGCGCAACAATAGACTCACCCTCCGTCATGGATGGCAGAGTGGCCTCTAGGTCGACCATGAAATCGCGCATGGACGTTGATTCCAAAGCATGGTCCCCATCGCCAACTGCCTCATCTTGTGGCACCCCCTCATGATGGGCATCATCAAACTGCTCCGCGTGACCCGCGCTACTACCAGGCAGAGCACCAAGCGTCCCATTGTTCGCTAGCGACCAAGCAACACCTCTGGCCACATCTTCGGTGCCTATCTCTTTGTTGTCGTCTGTTGGACGATCATGTCCTGCGTCTTCGATCTCCGCTTCCCTTGTCCCCGCACCGGTCGCACCCCTAGATGACGGCGGTGACTCAGAACCTAGTATGAGTTGTCTCTTTGCGACCTTCGGACCCTTTCGAAGCCGCAGAAGCCTCACACCTCCTCCACGCCCCTCTGAATCCTCGCCGCTGGCTAATAAGCCCTTGGACCCTCTCTGTGATGGGCTCCTCGCATGCCCGCTATGTCCCCCTCTGCCCCATGTACGGTCGGCGATGAGGTATGAGGAATCGGCTGGACAATAGGGCTCCCAGATCCGTCCCAGCATCCCTCGACTCCAAACCTGCCCCTAGCTGTGTCCTCGAATAAATCTCTGTCACCGCTACGCCGGCGAACCTCCTCAGGGTCACTCCAAACGTCATCGTCGTCCTCCGCACGCTGGGCAGCACCAGCGCCGCGGGGGCGGAAACCGTCATCCGCCTCCTCGCGCTCATCTCCACTCGAGTCATCTCTCGGGTACGGCCTCAAAGTGGCGGCCCGAACCCCGAACACATCCTCAACGGGAGGCGGTGGTGGTGACCCACAAGCATCCCGCCGCCACAACTGCGCCTGCGCATCGCCGTCCTCCTCGGGTATGTTGTGGTCCACCCCCTCGCATACAGCGTCTGCCTCCAAGCCACCGTCGACATCCAATATGGACTCATCCTAAGTCCACGGAAGAACCAAACCTCTACCACCGCTCTGAAGAGCCAAAAGTCGCGTGTTGGCCGTGATCTCCACCAACTTCGTGACCTTCGGGAACAGCAATCGGTTACGCTTCTTCGTGTGAATACTCTCGTGGATGGCCCAGCTCCGCTTTGCGGGAGAGGAGCACGTCCACATGTACAACACACAAAGAGCGATACGCTGAAGCTTAGGAGCACAACCGCCATACTGTGACCACCAAAGACCACTCTCAACGGTCTCTTGCTCTCCGACACACATCTTCGTTGCGGCGCGTTGTCGGAGGGCGCGGTGTCCCGGCCCTCCTCCCTTTGCCAAGTCCCTACCTGGTACCTGGGCTATAGTATGATGTGGACCAGTCCCGGTGGCGTTGCCCTCAGCAAAAGGGGTGCGCCACAGGACTTCCATTGGTCCACGCAGGCTCGGCGCCCTGCTGTACAGCAGAGCACAACCGGTCTGTGGCCGTGGGAGCCGCCGGGTTCGCCCTGGGACTCGGAGGTGAGAGGGCTGGCTCATTCTTTTCAACTGCGCGCCGAGCACCCCTCTACTAAGTTATGGGTTAGGTGCAAGGGGGTAGAGGTCGCTGTCGGGGAAGGAAAATAGAAAAAGAAGAATAGAGCGTCAAATTTAAACTCGATTTCTTTTGTGTGGGGAAATCTGGTGGCCTCAGGTCGCTGTGATGCTATGGCTTCCTTTCCAATTTTGAATTGCCTTCATCATCATCATTATTATTATTATTATTATTATTATTATTATTATTATTATTATTATTATTATTATTATTATTATTGTTATTATTACTTAAATTTCCTATTTTCGGTTTTCCGCCTGTCGACCTGTCATTTCGTAGGAATAGGGGCCGCCGATTCGGGTTTTCGGACCGTAAGTGTGGTCTTATGGTCTCGTTTTACTGACCCCTTGTATATCGCCTGTACCGGACCTGTTCGTCCGAACCTTGCGGTGAGACCCCAAGGGCTAGGTTAAGGGCAGATAGAGAAAGGCCTGAAGAGAGAAAAATAAGAAAAGGGAGAAAAGGAAGGGAAAATATTGGAAGTCGGGCTTTAGATTTGTGTGTGGGCTCGTATTGCCGTTTGGGCGAGACTGTTGCGCGGCGAAATTTTGAAAAGCCATCTTTTTTTTTCCTCTATGATTACGTAGTTTTCGTTTCGCTCGATTGTCCGATTCGGTTTGCCTTAGCCTGTCACTTCACAAGAAAGCCAAACGGTTGGAAATTCAGGCTTGAGCTATTTTGTGCGGCCTAAGTGGGACGACCCCTCGTATAGTGTTTGCTCTGAGCCTGTTCGACTGAGTGCCGCGTTGCAGGACCTCAAAAGAAGGGCGACCCGCGGCCACATTGGTAGGGAGCCTATCACCCTCCCGTGGAGGGTCATAAGCCCCCTCCTTACCATCAGACACGGGTACCCGTCGTGTATAGGCCAACGCGCACGTCTTGAAGAAAGAAAAATGCTTGTCAGTATCCCGTTATGGGACTTCAGATATTGGGCTGTGGTCACATCGTGATAATTAGTGGCTTGACGGCGGCATGGCGATTTCGGACCATCGTTGAATTTTCGATTTCGAATTAATCAGTTTTTATTTTGCTTTATATTTTTGGAATATTAAGAATTTTAGAGTGCAGGGTCATAGCGAGGTGTGGGGCTATAAAGAGGTGAGGCGAACGAGCTTTTGGCAGTGAAGCTTCTTCTGCTGTGTTGACGCTGGCCTGAGAAAGCGGTGGATAGTCTGTGGGCATGAGTGTTGAGTCTTGAGCTGTGTATGACTTGATGGCGACCACGTTGCGTAGCAATGGCCTTTTTGGCTATAGGCCAAGGCACTTGAGGTTCTACTGGAGCTGGGCACCTATGCGTGAAGAGGGTGTTACAGTGGATGTCTGACTGACTTACAGCAAGAGTGAGGGACAGGCTAGATTGAGAATTAATGTCTACGGGGGAAGAGAGCAAGAGATGAGGGAAGATGCAAAAATACCGGGTGTGGTCACCGAGGCTCGTAGCAGGGCGGAACGGAGGTGCCGGCGAGATGGAGTTACCGTGGCGTTACGAGTCACGGTCACTTATCATGAGGAAGAGACCTCTACGGGTACGACAGAGAGAGAGCAACAAGAACTAGACCGGGACTTAGAGGCTGAGTCCGAAGATAGCGAGGACCTGTCTCAGTCCTGGCACGGGCTGGAGCAGTGGAGGAGAGAGCACCCGCCAGCTGAGTCAGTAGAGGACGGACCCGAGGCCAGTTCGGCCCAGGGTGAAACGAGACCGACAGAGGCTAGGCTATCGAGTGCAGGGGCGAGTAATAGGTGGGACTGAGACTCGAGGGACCGTGACGAGTTACACGCGCAGGCATGAGCGACACGTGGCAAGGTTTGGGACAGCGAGGAAAAAGTCAGCGGAGAGTAGACACGGAGAGGGCGAAGCAGGACGTGTGCTGGGGTGTGCGACTGACGTCAACTTCCGTTACCACGCTTACGCGACGTTTTGCGCCTACCGCAGGGGCGAGAAGACAGGGGGAAGAGATCTTGCCAGAATGTGTGGGCAGTGGCTCGAAGAGAGAGGGTAGCCTGAGGTGCATGGAGGAAGTCGCCACTTGATCTGTTTGCCTTGCACCAGCTTCGATCTTTTCGTCGCCTTGGGCACAGACCAGCAACCTTTCGCCGGTGCATGGGCTGCAATCACCTGCTGGCTGGTATGTGACCACTGAAAAAGTCAAGTCGGACACTCGCGTGACTGATGTCAGAGTCGGCTTGACTCGACATCCTGGGGTCGAGCACGAAGGGACACGCGTCGCGCCAAGAGAGTCAACGGGACAGAGAGGGAGAGAGAAGAAGAGAGAACTAAACGCGTGTGAGAAGGTGCGAGGCGGTTACGAGAGAACGCATGCGCTGCACGTGGCGTTCCAAGAAGTACAGAGGTGTGAAACTAGGAGGTCTGCTCAATGCTTCCTCACAGCATTTGAGAGATGAGCCAGTGCATGGGGGGGGGACATCGCCCAGGGAGCAATTTTTTTTGAAGTTGTTCCCGCGCGTCAGACTTCCCGGGCCTGTTCTTGATCGCCGTGTGGCATGGCCTAGAGACCAGCGAACTGAGGGAGTTGGTGCACGCCAGTATGAGGGCCGTCGATCCGTGAGTGGTATCAGTAGGAGAAGGAACGAAAGAGGAGGTTACAGAGGGAGAGAGAGGGTTAGCGCTTATACGCAGTGCTGGGGAGACGCTCCTACTCATTGCCTGATAGATGAGTCTGTACGCTTGCACCTTCAGGCAACCAATTGGAAGTTAGTACCTCGGGCCATCCTCGCGAGCTTGGCATGGTCTAAAAGAGCACGAAGAAACCAGCACTTCGAGAGGACGCACGATCCGGATGAGAGTGTTAGCGCTGATTGACGTCAATGATCGCCCTAGCTCCAGCGTGATGCTTTTGCTGTGAGCAGAGCTCGCATACGTGCTTCTTCAACCATGATGTCACTGAATGCAATGGGTGACGTGCTCACTCAGATGAGACCTGATGCGTTTTAATGGTTGTGGGAGAGGATCTCCATCGCGCGTGTATGTACAGGGTCTGAGTTGGTCGAAGAGGGAGCGTTAGCCATTTGTTTCCAAGTACATGCAAGAGTGATCCGACTCACCTCCCCCGTTGTCGACTAGTGACTATTAGTCGTTGGGCGTCAATTGGCTATGGTGAGAAGTCAATGGGGAGGAAGTTTTTGTGGTGTGTGTTAAGAGGGGAGTCTAGGCAGTACAGTTGTCGTCAGAGGCAGTCTTTGCGTTTCATGGGTGGTACTCACACTATCCGACAATCTTCAGCATTGTCTTGAAAGCAGGGTCATGAGTAGATCATGCGTGAGTTACCAGCGCCATAGCATGTTGTGGGACAAAGCATCTAAGTAGAGAGAAAAGGTTATCAACGTGGAAAGGCGTATATACACGTCTGGCTTGAGGCTGTTATTATCACCTGGCCTATTTGAAGTTGCTCTTCTCGCTGGGACTATGGTGTTAGGATACTGCTCAAACCTCCGTCACTGACTCAGAGGATCACATTGAGTAGGGGCGAAGATAAAGCGACATGAATGCTCGAACGACCCTCGGGAGGTGATCCAACTTTGAGAAGTGATTGGAACTAGTCTTCCAGTTCAAAATCATTTCACTTCATCTCCAACCGGGCTGATCCGCTGTGATCGAACGAGAGTCTGCTTCTGCTAGACTCCATGTTATCCGGGTTGCACTAACGGACAGGTTCTTGAGACAGGAATGGAGAGGTGATTCTCAGTTGACATCAACGCCATTCTTGCATAAGTGCTGGCTATGAGGTAGCTGTGGACTAGCCAGTGAGTTACGAGACCTTGAGGCACTAGGACGTTCTTGTCTAAATGAGCGCTACTGATCAGACCAAAAATACGTTGGCAGGAGTTCTGAGCTAAGTAATAATTAACGTATAAATGTTCTTGCCTCTGAAAGCGCTTGTCTCTTGTCAAGACTTGGCAGGGTAACGAAATCTCATCTTTATAACTGAGTAGGACCGGAAAGTACCAATTACCTTGTGAGTTACGAGCTCGTCATTAATCGAACCCGCAACTTGTGAGTAGCTCTCGAGGGTGTTTGCCGTCAGTAAATCGAGTAAACTCGTGGTTGGAAATGCAGGGATCGTCACTTGGGCCTTACGCTAGAAGTCAGTTGATAAGATAATGACTAAGTGACAAGAGAACTTGTCTTGCATGCCTTAGTTGCGTGATCCGAAATTTGGCTAGGAGTGGGGATGAAGGCTTCTAGTATGAGCTGCAGTATTACACAAGAGAGTAAGAGAAAGGTAACAGGTATGGGCCAAGGAACATAATGAGTGGAGTCTGAATCTGTGTGATAATTTTCTCTGGTCTCTCTTGTGATTTTGGTGATAAGTCAAAATTCTACTCTCAAGTTGTGCGTGGAAATCGGACAAG